AGTAGCAAATGCAGTTAACATATGGAAAGAAACAGTAGAATATGATGAACTAACAATCAATGAGCGACAAAAAAGAAGACGAAACTTTCTTTAAGATGCTTGATTCTGTTAGGCATGGCTGTCTGACTGATGAAACAATTGATATGCTTAAGAGTCGCGTATTTAAGGTTTCAATACAAGAAAAATATAAAGAATTGGAAAGTGAAGGAACAAATCCTCCAATTTGCCTATTTTCTAAGGTAGATGCCTGCCAAAAAATCATTGAATTAATGTTAGAAAGTCTAGAAACTGAGAAAATAGAATTAGCATGTGTTGATGTTGTTGATGAAAGTGCCAGCACAGCAAAATTTGACAAAAAACAAGAAAATAAATTAGAGAAACTAAAAGATCAACCAAGCAAAACAGCTAGTTTAGAAACTGTATTGTCTTTAGCAGTAGGCTGTAGAGTAATGCTAAGACGTAATATTGATGTGACTGTAGGATTAGTTAATGGTGCCATTGGTACAGTAATGGGTATTTATGCTACACGTATATCAATCAAATTTGATCATATTGATGTACCTTGTGACATAGAAAGGGTTACATCTAGATTTATGCTATCTAAGAATTTGTATATACATAGGAAACAGTTTCCCCTTATACTTTCTTATGCCATTACTATACATAAATGTCAGGGCCTCTCACTAGATACAGCCATTATTGATTTATCTACTGATGTTTATGGGGATGGTATGGCATATGTTGCATTGTCTCGTGAACGTACATTAAATAGATTACATTGATTATCATTTGATCCTCTCTCTGTTAAAGTTAGTAATCCGTGCATTAACGAAATTAACCACCTCAGAAGTAAATTTCGGAATGACTTACCTAGATTCAAGTGACTGGTATAATTGATGATGGTGAACCTTGTAGTAAGAATGCCAAGGTGTCTGTAAGTCATGTACAAAGTACTAGTAACAGTACCGATAGTAGCAATAAATGTAAGAGTACTGATTTAGAAAAATCTAATCTCTCCAAAAAGAGTAAAATTTGTGACGATAATGCTTTAACTAAGCCTTGCCCCCAAAAAAGAAAAGTTGATGTAGACAGTAGTACTGACAATACTGCTTTGGTAGTGCCTCGCTCAAAAAAA